GCCATATCCTCCGTCAAGTTCTCCCCCAACGGCGCTCTCCTCGCCTCCTCCTCCGCCGACAAAACCCTCCACCTCTTCTCAGCCCCCACCCTCTCCTCCCTCTCCTCCCTCTCCGGCCACTCCGAGGGCGTCTCCGACCTCTCCTTCTCCTCCGACGCCCGCTACCTCTCCTCCGCCTCCGACGACAAAACCCTCAAGATCTGGGACACCGAAACCTCGACCCCGATCAAAACCCTAACCGGCCACACCAACTACGTCTTCTGCTGCTGCTTCAACCCGCAGTCGAACATGATCGCGTCGGGGAGTTTCGATGAGACGGTTAGGGTTTGGGACGTGAAGTCGGGCAAGTGCTTGAGGATCCTGCCGGCGCATTCTGATCCCGTGACCGCGGTGGATTTCAATAGGGACGGGAGTTTGATTGTCTCCAGCAGCTTCGATGGGCTGTGTAGGGTTTGGGATACGGGGACGGGGCATTGCGTGAAGACGTTGATCGATGAGGAGAGCCCGCCGGTTTCTTTTGTTAGGTTTTCTCCTAATGGGATGTATGTTCTTGCTGCCACCCTCGACGGGACGCTGGTAATTCTCACGTTGTTTCTTTTGGTCAGTGATGTGTTTCGGATGAATATTCCTCGAGAAAGCTGATAAATTGCTGCAAATTGTTAGGATTGTTCTGTAAAGGAATTCATAATAAAACTAGGAATTGTAGGGTATAAACTTGTAGATAGCGACTGACAAGCTTCCGATGTGAATTTCAACTATTGTTCTCACTGAGTAGCCAAGAACGAGTAGTTTACTGCGACTAATGATCAACCTGGTGCTGATAAAACAATGCCTTGTCTGATCATCCTTTTCTATGTTATTATCTAACAATATGTTGTTGTCTATTTCAGAAAGCTCCACGCGCTTGATCTTTTAGCTCTAATGCGATTCTTTCTGACTGCTGATTTAAAGCCATAGTTTAACTTGGCATTCATTTTTTTGTGTTGGACTCAATTCTGGTTGGTGCAGAATTAAAGCCTTAGTGTAACCTAGCTTTCAGTTCTGGATGGACTCGATTGTAGTTGGTGACTTAAGCCATAATGTAACTTTCATATTTGGATTGGACGCAATTACGTGCCAAAATACCCACAGATTGGAATAGTAAATTGCTTAAAGAATGTCTGGCATTCAACGGTGACAGTTTCTTAAGAGAGAAAGATTTGAAAGAAACATATTAACATTTTTTCACAGTTGAGTTATCCATGGCGATAAAACACAAAGCTAACAAATACTTGTTCAAATCAGACTCCACGGAACTGAAGTGGGGCTGCTAATCGTGACACCATGTGAGTGAAATCAAAGGAGGGCTAGGTTAAGAAATTAGAGAAACCCGTAGGTCTTCTTCAGTCTATATTAGCTGCCCTCAACTGTCTGGTGTGTGTGCATAATTAGGGTCAAAAAATCCTAAGTTAATATTAGCTTAGCTTCCCACAAATATATGGAGTTCATAAACTGTAGTTCTTCCTGAGTCTGTATTAGCTCCCCATGTGTAATTGCTTAATGCTTAGAGACTCCAAACTTCCATTTAAATGGTAAATTTCTACCTTCATAGCCTAATAGTTCTTAAGTGTTTATAAGTGTTTAAGTGGAGAACAATCATGTTGGCTTTTTGTAGAAGGAAAGGTTTATACCTGCCAATATTGGAGTTGCAATTTACTAGATTCTGAATGTTGAGGACATGAAGTTTCCCTGGAATAAGGCACACAGCTTTGATAAGGAAAGTATATATATTAGAGAAAATTACAATTTGATATTTCTTTGACAACTTTAGGCACAAAAGAAATGGGGTTAAAGATATTGTATGAGATGGTTTGCTTTATGTTCTGGCTTATCATGCGTGTCACACATAAAATAAGCAGTCAAAAAGAACCCAAAAAGATTGTTGATATGCTAGATTAAGGTACTAGTACTCTTGTGGATATTTTCTTGGATTTTCATGAACTGATAGTTATATTATGTTATTTACATCATGGGGATTTCTCGTCTAATTTGATCTTACATTTTTTCCAGCTCATTGCTCGGTCCCCGCTCCTGGTTACCTTTTCATCTACACTGGAAAACCTATTAGTTCTCAAAGATATACAGATTTGACATGGAGACAAAATTTTTTAATCTGCTTTTAACATTGTGGCACATTTGTATGAACTAAAACACAAAAAAAGATCTAGATCAATTTGTTTTTTCTTTCTTTTTTACCTTTTTGTTTGTTTAGAAAATTTAAGACAGACAATCAAATGAAACATAATCTACGAAATCTGCAATCTCCACATGAAGTGTGGAGTAAGGATACAAACCATCCCCTGTTTGGGCTTCCCTTTGAGAATTCAATAGAAAATTTAATCCATCTTGATATATGAATGCTTGAATTAGTGCTTGTCCACTTGTTAAGTGTTTTAATGGGAAATAATTTACAAGTAAGTTTTTAGTCTGATTTGATGTGCTAGTTAGTTGTCTCCTAGGCTTTATGTGTTAGCTCCTTTCAATCCTTCTAGAGAAGTTATCTTCACTGGACCCTTGCCATTTTCTCTGTATGCATGCAAGGTATGGGTTACTTCTTTCTTCTGCCTTTTTTGTGAAACAAGAAACAGCAGACGAAGAGGGCATCAAAGCTCCCTCTCCAATTTACCTTGTTGCAATATGTGGCTTTTTTGCAGTTGTATTTGTTTAATAAATGTGAGGAGGGCTGACTTTATACTTCTTCTGCTTGAAGCAGTGTTATTAAAATATTGATCGTGCAGTCATATTGAACTTTTTATTTATATGATAGCTCAGTAATGTTTTATATAAAAATCCTGAACTGATGTGTGAATCTTTGGTTGGACACTTTAGGAATTTCTCTTGTTTCTTTCTTGCACTTCTTCAGTTTCTTTGACCTGAAATTTGTAGAATATTGAAGTAGAGGTATTGGTTGATCTAGAAAATGAGGTAATCACATTTGTCCTTTCCTTTTAGCATCACCACCACCGACACCACATTCTGAAGGCTCCACGGAGGGTTTGAGAAAGTTTTAACACCAGATGCCAACTTTATTTTACTCCTTGTGAGAGGTGTGTGTATTCCTGAGCAGGGAACCTCAGGACATGGTAGTGGTTTACTATAAACCCAGCCTTGCTAGTTTTACATTTTGTAAGATCTACTTGATCCTGCAGTTTAAACTCAATCCACAAGCAAAATAATCATCCTGCTTCAGCCCTTAACCACATCGTGAATTGTTACATGTAGTCTAGTGGTTATCAGTTCTACAACACGCAATCAATAGTAGATACGGCTAGTGAATACCTGAATTATGTTTGATTATTAGCCCTTAATCTCAAATCAAGTTTGTATGGTTTACAGAGGCTCTGGAACTTCTCAACTGGGAAATTTCTGAAGATTTACAGGGGACATGCCAACTCAAAGTACAGTATCCCTGCTACATTCTCGGTAACAAATGGAAAGTACATTGTCAGTGGCTCAGAAGACAACTATGTTTATCTGTGGGATCTCCAAACCAGGAAGATAGTTCAGAAACTTGAAGGCCATACAGATACTGTCATCGGTGTAACTTGTCATCCGAAAGAGAACATGATTGCGTCTTGTGCTCTCGAAAACGATAAGACAGTGAAAGTGTGGGTGCAAAAGGATGAGGATCAAATGGAGAACGAATGAAACTTAATCAGGGTAATTCTTCCTAAATTCCATTTTTATTTTGATGATTCAGGAAACATTGCTGATATTGGATAACAATTTCTGTTTTCTTCCCCTTTTGTCAGGCTATATTCATGTAGAATGCAGGCCAGCATTGAGTTGCCACCAATGTAAACTCTGGTTTAATGCTCAATGACATGGATTCATATGAAGTTCTAATTGACTGTTCCAACTGACAGAGGGAAATTACAGCAGTTAACAGAGAATCTTATATTTATCTGTAGTTTCGCACTTGTGTGTGATTACTCCGCTGCTATCTTGTTGCATGACTAAGTTTGTCTGCATCGTCAAATTTGAATGTCACAATTCTTTTCTTATACCTGCAAGCGTAGTATATTGCTTCCGAGTCTTGTTTAGGTCTTCCCCATGCTAGTATCAGTATAAGTTGGGGGATTCCTTAATTGATGAAATAGGCATTGGGGCTGTTGTTGTTTAATCTTGTCTACGTGAAATATCTCACGCTTCCATTTCTACTGCTGCTGTGAACAAAAGATTACAGGAAACAGAGATAAATATTTCTCAGTAGCTAGCTGCAACCACAGTTGTGTACAGTGCACGACAGTTAATTGGCGTGAGCTAATTGCAGGTTTGACGCAAAGAAGGTGGATAATTTATTGAATAACGAGCCTGAACTCTGTAAGCATTTATGTTTGTTTTTACCATTCTCTTCTGCTGAGGTAAAGATGATAGTACTGAGGCAATAGATTGAAGTTAGATGCGTGCGTACCCCAAAAAATGATAATAAATAAAAATAATAAATAAATACACGGATATGAGAGGCTTTTTTTTACCTTTGGTTTACACTAGCTCTATGTATAGGGGCTGTTTGTTTACTTTTTTTTTTGAGAGGGAAAGGTGGGGAAAGCATGTCAAAAACCTGCCAAAAGTACAGCTTTTGTCAGGCTTTCCACCCAAATCGTCTTTTTTAGAGGTGATTTGGGTGGAAAGCCTGCCAAAGGCTGCACTTTTGGCAGGCTTTCCCCACCTTTCCCTTTAAAAAAAAAAGGAAACAAACAGCCCCTAGCTGAACTTAAGAAAGTTACTAGCATTTGTTAGGATATTGATATCCGCTGCCCGAAAAATTCCTTAAGGACCCAAAATATGGGACCAATAGTGGGGACAAGTGAGGTGTCCCCCTCCTATTGAATAATGAGTTGACCATCATTAATGATGATCAAAAATATGGGACCAATGGAGGGGACACCTCATTTGTCCCCTCTATTGCTCCCATATTTTGAGTCCCTGTAGCAAAGCTCGCCCAGAAGTTTAAAAACCGAGGTAAAATTTTCTAGGTAGCATGTGCTTTCTCGAGTTCCTTGCAGCATATGGGAACTATAACCAACAGCGTCTTACAATATTTGAAATCGATTTTATTTGGACGATGCTTCCTATTCTTTAAGTTTCTCACAATTTCCCCACAGTAGTTGACCCTCATTTAGTTTGATCCATATGAAGTTGCTCTCAATTAGTTGTTTCCAATTTGTAAACTACGTCCAACATCATCAAATTTATAGTGTGTGTGTCAAAAGATTAGAAGTTTCCAACTACATTAAGGATTTGACTATTTAAAAAAAAATTTAATTAGGCCTTTTCCAATTGGTTATTTCATGCATTATCAAATGTAAATGCTCAGAACAACGTCCAGTCTTGACCGGTCCGAACATTCTTTATTCTTCAAATACTTGATTATCTCATAACTAATAAAGCGTAACCAAAAGGGTAAAGCTAGAAGTTTGCAAGAAAAAAAATATATTTCTTTTTCGTCTTCTTTTCTCTTTCTTCTCCAAGAATGTTCTAAATCATTACATTCATGGAAATAAAAAATATAGCCCCATATCCATTATATTGTAGCTTGTAAAAGGTATAAAATAAAAATAATTTGTTGTTTTGAAAAAGAGAATAAACATAAGCTTTTCAATATTTAGTCCATGGCATTTTTAGTATTTTGATATTAATCCCCCAAATCTATTGTTTGTTTTGAAATTGGTCCCCCAAATCTTTAAACCTAGTGCTAACTATGGGGACTAATTTCAAAACAATTAAAAGAATCTGGGGAGTAATTTCAGAATGTGAGGATTAGGATGATTAATTTTAAAACACTTTAAGATTTGGGCAATTGTTTTGAAGATTTGGGTGTCATTTGCATAATATGAAATATCTAGGGGCTAATATAAAAAAACCATAAAGTATCATATATGCATACTACTAGTTACTCTATATATTAATGTTGATGTTCTGGTGATCACACAGTCAATTGTGTCCGTGTTTGGACAAGTTTGTTGAGGATTGATGAGAGATCGCTTTTTTCCCCGACTTTATGTCTGGTTCTTGAGTTAGGAATCTGAAAAATCTGCACATGTAGAAGTTCGTGAGAGGACGGGGCTCGGTTCCCCGTTGTACCTCCAACGATAAAGTTAGCTGATGAACTTGAGTGTGGGTAATTAATAACTGTGTGAGTTCTTATGTGTGCAATATGATTTGTAATTTTAGAGAATTTGGATCAGGGATCAGATCTTCCGTCCCTCTATAAGACAGAATAGTACCTGTATTTATACCTAGGGTATAAGGGTAGATTGGTCACTTCGACCGACTATAGGAAGGTGGTGAAAAAGTGTGGGCTGGCAACTGCGTCAGCGTTTGCTTTACAGGTGTCGGCTGGTGATGGGGAGACGGATCACTTCAGCATAAAATGAAAAGTGAGCGGCGGTAGGGCGGTAGCCCACGTGGTGCGATGAGTCATGAAGACTATCGAGACTAGAGACATAATGTGTCTGCCATGCATTAAATGTGATGTTGACACGTTGTCAGTGAGAATAGGCTTGAGGAAGAGGTTGTCCTTTAGCTTCGCCGAGAAATAACGCCTTTCAAGTCGTCTGACAAACGGTCGAGTGGACTCATGATGAGTCATCTTTGACAAAGGTGGGCGACAAGTACCGCATTTCGAGTCGACATGAGGGGGTGTCGACTCGACAGATCAGTTGAGTTGTCGTCTCTACAAGCGTCTGACCGCCAAGTTGATTCGGACATAGCATGCAAAAGTACACTTGTCCGTTGCTCGGTACTGAGTTGCGTTCGGGCGAATGAGAACATCATAACAATTAGTAATTACTCTAGTATATTAAAGATACAAAGATAAAATAAAAAAATATTAAAAAAATACCACGTTCATATAATGACGATGGAAAGGTAATTATTTATTAAAAAATCATCATACAAACCCTTATATTGTATTGACCCTATTAATTGTCATGTTTTATTACTATACTAACCATTCACCTTTTTATTAAAATTTACACTCATTTTTATAGCGAGAATTTTTTGTCATAACAAGCTACTGTTTTCTGACGTGGCAGGGAGAATAAAAGAGGGATCGCATTGGGGAAAATTGAAAATTAGGGTTTATCAAATCGGGCCATTGGAAGAGAAGAAATTATGCCGTCGTCATCAAGTTCAAGCTCTCGTTCTAAAGCAAGCAGGGTCAGTGGAAAATTAGGATCGCATATAAGTATTAACCATGGTTTGAATGCTTTGGCAGGTATTAGAAGGTGGAACGAGGAAGCAAGGATGGTTGGCATGATAATCTGTAGGTGTGGAATGGATTGTGGGTATTATACATCATTTACAGATGAAAATCCTGGGAGAAGGTTTTATAAATGTCAAAATCCTAATGGTGGCTGTGGAATGTGAGAATGGTTCGATAAACCTGTGTGTAATATGTCTTCTACTCTATTTCCTATTCTACGAGATGAAATACTTAACTTGAGGAGTGACTTGAAGCTCAGGGATAGGCAGATTCAAAGAGTTGAGGCCGAAGTGAAGGATTGCCATGTTGAAAATGCCAATTTCAGAGACCAGCTCCAGGTTTTATACGATGAGAACACTTGCTCTTTGGAAGAAATATCAAAATTGAGAGATGTGAGTTTCAGATTAGAGGGTTTGCTTCAATTGGAGAAGAGGAGGATGATGTTGTTGAAGAGAGGAAGTTTGATATCACTTTTGTTTGTAGTCGTTTTTATTGTGTACTTTTTTTGGTTTATGGACATGGATATGTAATGTTTAAGAGCATATTGTAGGAACTTATGAATTTAATGAGAAGAAGCATTGAACATGAAAATCTATCACTGTTTAAGAGAAAATTTTGTCATAGTATATTTGGTTTTCATGAATTTTCTTTGTGAGTGAACCTGTACAATATAGTTTTCCTGTGACAAAGCATACTCACAAGCTTAAGTTCATGCACAGAAGCTCATGTTCACATTGCACAATCAACATACTAACCAGTAACTCCAAGCTGTGTAGAAATACACATTGCAAAATGAACATAACCAAAAGCCAAACTACATAAGTCACCATCAATTGTCATGTGTTTGTCATGATTACAATCACCAGCAACAAGCAAAAAGTCATTCAACTACATAAGTCTATATATTACCAAAAGCCAAACTATAATTACATATAATTACAACCCACTATTATGTGCACATGAAGCCTAAGTATGCTCCTCTTGGTGTACATGCTGGGTTAAAATTGGAGTTGAATCTTGTATGATTGTTGCTTGAGAGGCACTTGGATCTCTATAAGCTATTTTGAATCTTGTATGATTGTTGCTTGAGAGGCACTTGGATCTCTATAAGCTATTTCACCATGATCACCATGCCATAGGCCAAAACCCTCTGGCATACCATGATCACCATGCCATAGGCCAAAACCCTCTGGCATAATGACTTCATTATTTCTTCCTCTGCCTCGGACCCGTCGTCTATCACTCATTCCTCTAGCATTTTGAGATTGAGCTTACAGAATACATAACAAATTCATATATCAGTAGGAATCTATATGAAAACTTGGTGCACAAGAGTATGTATTGTTCATTACCTCTAGCAATTGCTCTTTTATTTATGAAAACTTGAGATGGTGGAAGATGGTTAGTTTGACTAATCTCTTCAATCGAATTGTTAGGTCTGGTTTTGCTCCCCTTTGGTCTTCCTCTTTTCTTCCTTCCACTTGTGCCTTCATCAAGAACTTGGGATTGGGTTTCCTAGAAGTAAATTAATGGAGAAATTAGATAATACGATTGCATATGAGATTATTAAAGATATCTAAATAATTGGCATTACAATACCTGTTGATGTGTTGGCCTGGGAGGATCTGTTGCTGCATCAGGATAACTGGGTCTTCTATGCCCTGTTCTGTGACAATTGCTACACTTTTGTATTAATTCCTGCCTTGATGACCTAGAAGGATGCTTGGAACCTTCAGATGGGTCTCTCCTCCTAGCAGTTTTGGGTCGGAAGGAGTGTTTTGAATGGGAGAAGGGGTTTGATCCGGTGGCATTCTAACCTGATTGTCTATTTATTTTTCTGATCTCAGAGTGTGAATTGCATTCAGTTAAGCTGGATTGTTAGAACTGGATCCAGTGTCTTTAGGGTTTGCAAC